AGAACATTCCTCTTTGATCAAATCCACAACTAACGGATGTAGAAACAACTACGTTAAAAACTAGCTTTGTTACCATTACAAGTCTAATTACTAACCGATTGGTGAAATTTCACCGTAATTACTTGTAAAACACGCCCACTGCGTCTGATTAATAATTAATTAGTTGTTTTTTAATAACCTTCACCGTTATTTCTTATAAAACTACATTTGAATACAGTAAACCAGATCATCACGTTAATTCTTTATGTTTACCGAAGGCCTGGTGGTTGGGACGCTCGCCTCGCAACTTGTAGTTGTGCCGCGGGATCGAAACCCGTCGACTAGCATGCTCGACCTTTCGGTCTAAGGGGCGTTATAATGTGACAGTCAATCCCACTATTCGTTGGTAAAGAGTAGCCAAAGAGTTGGCGGTGAGTAGTGTTGACTAGCTACCTTTCTTCTATCGCTTCAAAGACTAGGAACGGTTCCTAGAGTATCGTTGCTTGAAGTTCAACAAACAAACTTAGATCGCTTTCAGCATCACCTTCAGGTATTTTAAGGAACTAATGTAGACATATATACAAGGCTTAGAAATACAACATATCATTAGAGAACGCGAGTAGGTCGCTGACGTGTTATACTTTAACCATCATTATCTATTTGAAATGATTAGGTATTCGAAGGATGAATCCTTATCGTGAATAACGACATCACAGTTTCTGACAGGAATCATGTGATAATGAGAGTGTTGTGTTGGAGAATTAAAACTGCCGTGATATCACAGTCACGAGAATAATAAAAACTGTTTTTTACCGATAGACACGTGATTTGTGGTGTAATGGGGCAAAAGTACACGAATAATCACGTTTAACGTTTAGTTCAAATGTTTTGATATGTATACATTCATTACTTCTGAAACTGGGAGTTCTATCATGTCCTAAATATTGATGTAAAAATACCAATTTTTATCTCAATGGATTCGCAAAACTCCACGAATCCTTACTAGACATTACTCCTGCTAAGACGTATTATTTGTTTTGTTGTTAAGCTGAAAGCTTGATTGGAAGATGTCAGATATCAAGGTAATGTTGCTTGTTTTGTTGTTAAGCTAAAAGCTTGATTGGAAGATGTCAGATATCAAGGTAATGTTGCTTGTTTTGTTGTTAAGCTAAAAGCTTGATTGGAAGATGTCAGATATCAAGGTAATGTTGCTTGTTTTGTTGTTAAGCACAGAGTTACACAATAAAGCTATCAATGCTATTCCATCCGCGGGTATCGAAACCAGATTATTAGCGTTAGAAGCGGTTAGACCTACCACTGAGCCACCAGGGTGAGGGGTGAAGGCTTGAATGATGTTTTAGACATAAAACTACTGGTTAACTCATGTTTTAAATACAAAGCTACTGGTTAACACATGAGAGAATCATCAAAAAGAAGCACCATAAAAGTATCGTGTATACTAATAGTATATCTTGGATAAATATTTTAACTGTATAGTGCAGATATGATATACGGAAATATGCTAGCGCAGAGAAGGTTTATATAAATTGAAAACTAGACATCATTCTGAGATATGCTCGTAAAATAGACTCTATATACATATAGTCAAGTAATGTTGAACTTAAACTCAAATATCTGTAGAATGTCATAGGGATCAAGTCTTCGACTGAAAAACATACGATGCACTTGAATGGGAAGGAGAGTTCAGCTTAATTACACTTTTTATACTTCACAGGTAGTGAGGATCCATCATTAACACAATATTTTGTGCTTGACAGGTAGTGAGGATCCATCATAAACATAATATTTTGTGCTTGACAGGTAGTGAGGATCCATCATAAACATAATATTTTGCACTTCACAGATAGTGAGGATCCAACATAAACACAATATTTTGTGCTTGACAGGTAGTGAGGATCCATCATAAACACAATATTTTGTGCTTGACAGGTAATGAGGATCCAAGATAAACACAATATTTTGTACTTCACAGGTAGTGAGGATCCATCATAAACACAATATTTTGTGCTTGACAGGTAGTGAGGATCCATCATAAACACAATATTTTATGCTTGACAGGTAATGAAGATCCAAGATAAACACAATATTTAGTACTTCAAGGGGAAGAGCGTACAGCTTAATTACAGTTTTTGTAATTCCCAGGTAATGAGGATACAACATAAGCAGAATTTTTGCACTTCACGGGGAAGAATAATTAAATTTAAACAGAAATTTTTGAATTGGTTTGTAACGAGTGTTTAATTTAAATACAAATTTATAATCCAAGTTTTAATTAGTCATTGTTCAGATATTAGGCTTAACTCTAAAGTCAAGATCTATTCCTATCCTTGTCCCTTTTTAATGATACCTTCAATAGGTCTTTTGTTTAAATGTTAAATTTCATCTGTCACTTGATGTCGGAATAAAATCAGAATTGAGTACATTTGTTTGTCTTTGATGCAAATTTCTGTGCTAAAAGATGAAAGCTAAATACAAAATGCAAACAGAAAGAATACAACAGTTTGTTTGTTTTGAATTTCGCGCAAAGCTACACGAGGGTTATCTGCGCTAGCCGTCCCTAATTTAGCAGTGAAAGACTAGAGGGAAGGCAGCTAGTCATCACCACCCACCGCCAACTCTTGGGCTACACTTTTACCAACGAATAATCACATTATAACACCTCCACGGCTGAAAGGGCGAGCATATACCTTTGTAAAACATGCTTATTACTTATTCTTGTATCTTATGAATAAGGAATTATACTTGGATCTGTCTGTCTTATTAAGTTTTTTTATCCTTCAATAACTTTTACGTAGTGTGAAAAATTCAAAAGGAGTTCACTAACCAAGATGTATGTGTAGAACCGATTACCGAGTTATTAATCCTTGAGTTTATCTATTCTTGTGTCAGATACTGGCGAAACGTGATCTGTACACATTAGAACTAATGATATGTTTACTAAAAGCGACCGAGCTTAAAGAAATATATCAAGTACATCAAGTTTTTTTTTTATTAAGCCTTACAAAAGTACAATATAAATATTTATAATTTCAGTTCACTGAATTATGCACATAGCTAAGTTCAATTCAACATTTATATGAGATCTTGGTTCAAGGTGTTTTTTTTTTATACACACGCAACGTAAAAAAACAAAAAACAACAACAAAAAGAGGTAGCAGTAACTATTTTTTTTTCTATCAAATAATTGTACTGGGAAAATGTTTACAAAAGAGTACAGGAGTATTTGAGCCAATATTGCTAAAGTATAAACATAACTGTACATTGTTTTCAAAGTAGACAAACTGTTTCTAATAAACTTTAGGCTTAAAACGTTCTTACTTTGAATCTCTAAGTTATTATAAAAACAACATTAATATGGTATTTTTCACACTATAACTCAACTAAATATATTATCCTATGAAACCTCAAGTACTCCAAGGGTATCTTGTGTATACACAAAGTTTCTTTGGCGCGGATCATTTCTTTACTATTTGCACTCCCCCAAGATATTTTTTGCGCGTGCTCTTTAATTAATCGCCCAACCTTCGCTGCTATTTACAGGACTGTGACACAAATGTCACTTCAAAACACTTTAACATATTGGGGAATGCGGATAGTAAAGAAATGCTCCGCACCAAAGAAAATTTGTGGATACACAAGATGCCTCCTGAATTAAATGTTAATCAAACAGCGCCACCTTTGCTTTTAAAACTTCAAGAGTAATGATAATCTTGTTGTGTTTCATAGCACAAATATATATATATATATATATATATATTGTAATAATCAATGATACAACTCCAGAACTTTGAAATTTTTAGTTAAAGAGCAACAACAAAACACTAACTTTCAAAAGCAGGTGTTATTCCATGGATTAATGTCGTGATTTAAATATCAAGTTATTTTAGTTTTATAAATAATATTATTTATGTGATGAACAAATTGTTATTATAATTTTCTTAATTATTCGTACACACAATTTAACGTAAATAAGACTTTATTTTTTTAAAATTGGAGTCCAGATTTAAGAATAAACATTAGAAAAGACACGAGCAAGATGAGACAGAAATGTAATAATGAACTGGATTTTTTCCTCCAACAATAGATTATGTTCATTACATTTCTCACATTAGTATTAGGCTTATTAAACTTTCAACAATGCATTCTTTATTGGGTTCCTTAGGGTTTTTAAAGAAGAAGAGTGTATAAACCACACTAAATCCGTGTTGCTGTAAGAAATGGCTTACATAAATTGTACTCCGACCACAACTGTGTTAGTTGTTTTCCAGCCGACTTGATGAGTTCTGTGTTGAGCGAAACGCGTCATAGGCAATGGATATTGCAGACATAGTGTGTTTGAAATAATATTATATATTCTTCTTCTTCTTGAAAAACTCTGAGACTGAATAAGGCGTGAAGTATTAAAAATATAACAAGCCTAATACTAATGTCTCAGGACAAATATAATTAATTACAGTCTTGCTTCACAAGCTAAGAAAACACGTTCACGCCATCACGATAGATAAAATTATATTTATATACAAACTACATTTCTGCAGGTTCTTGTTATCAATTGAACGTTTCCGCTAAAAATATTCTTTTGGGGAGATTTAAAGAAAGTGAATGTATTTTTTGATCATGGTATTAAAATGCCAAATTGTATTTGATTTTCTGTTGTGAGTAACGCACAACTATTTAAATATCAGTGTGTTTATCGTTACTTTAAACCTTCATGATATATTGTGATAACAATCACACGTTAACTGTAATTTTATAAAACGCTTAAGTAAAGGACAACTTATCTACAAATAAAATATTCTAAGATATCCAGACGAAAAAAGAAAACAAAAGCAGATCTTATAATTGTTTATATTTTACCCAAAAATGATGACAGAGAGTACTTTTGATATTTTTTATATCATTTTATCAAATCAATTCTATGATAAAATTCATTAAAATGGTTTTGGTGATGTTTTTTTTATTTATATATTTTGTAATTCGAGCATCAAAAAATATAGAAGCTTATTAGAGAAAAAGGTGTCCATGATAAAAAATAAACTTTATTAATACAGAGTGACGTCACAGAGTGACGTATTTAGTTTTATAATATGCAAAACATCTCTCTTCATAATATTTAGATGGAATAAAATTATTCATAATATACAAACTAAGTTATTATTAAACAAAATAATTAAATACACGCGTATACAAAAAGCAACAACAGTTTGAATTGATCGCGTATCTAAAGCGGACACACACTCTGTATTTAGTCCTAACAAAAAGCAACAACAGTTTGAATTGATCGCGTATCTAAAGCGAACACGCACACACTGTATTTAGTCCTAACAAAAAGCAACAACAGTTTGAACTGATCGCGTATCTAAATCGAACACGCACACACTGTATTTAGTCCTAACAAAAATCAACAACAGTTTGAATTGATCGCGTATCTAAAGCGAACACACACACACTGTATTTAGTCCTAACAAAAAGCAACAACAGTTTGAATTGATCGCGTATCTAAATCGAACAGGCACACTCTTTATTTAGTCCTAACAAAAAGCAACAACAGTTTGAATTGATCGCGTATCTAAAGCTGACACACACTCTGTATTTAGTCCTAACGAACCATATAAAACAAATCATTATCTTAGGTTTCTTTGACCAAATAATCTATGAACGTCACCGTTGGAAACAAAGATAACATGATTGTTAATTACTACTTAAAATCATAAGATGGAAAAAAATGGGCAAACATTAGAAATATCGGAGACACAAATGTTTTTATTTTAAGTCCATTATTTTTATCAATTGAACTTGAAATGAGCTTCAAAAGACACGTAGCATGTGTGTAATTTTTAATGATTGATTTCATGATTTTATTTAAACTAATTTACTTCCCGTGACATACAAAAAAAAAAAAGATTAAACGTGCAATAATTGTCTACGTTTCTAAAACTTCGTTAATAAAGTAAAATTATATTACTATCGTCACTGCTTTAACAATTACATACACTTTAGATTAGTTTAGTTTCCGATTAGCGTAATAAACGTGTTTTAATTGTATAAATATTTCAATTTACCGGTGGTTTAATATAGAGCTACAGGTTTTACGTAAAGGTGTTTACGTGTTTTTCTCATTTACTTTTTATTTACGACCAAATAATGCAGTTTGGAGTAAAATATTTTTCGGTGAACACATAAATATATATATATATATATATATATATACAAGAAAAAATAATTACTAACTAATATTCTAATTCAAGCGTCAGCCAGAACTGCTTTCACTTCACGTAACATGTTGCTTTTTAATGGCACTTGAAAACAAAGGAATATGGATCAACCCGAAAACCTGGACCATCAAGAAAGAGACTTGTGATAAGTCGTACCCAATCCATGGTAAGTAAAGTGCAGATTTTACATAGGTGAGAATCAATGAAAACAAAGATTAGTGGCAAAAGTCCACAAGTTAGTGTTTTATTTGTACTTCATTTTCAGGCGTAATAAGATTAATTTAAAGATTGCAAACAAACGTCCGACATTCTCTCAAAAGAGCAACAAATTATTATTGAGAAAATAAAATATCACGAGAACTCCAAATTCATAAATACAATATATATAGGAACAAAATTAATAAATATAAACATAACAAAATTATTTTAAGTCTGATTCTCTTCGCAAGTTTCTTTACTGCATACAAAGATAGGCGGATTAATAATATTAAGATCCGCTGTGTTCTATATATTATAGAATTTGTTTCAAGTTACAAACCATAAGGAAGTTATTGTAAGTTGTCGTCACAGAGAAAAACGGTACATGACCTTTATCATAAATCATTTAAAGTGACAAGAATTAGGACCTTAAATCTTTAGATAAATACCAAGAGCCAAACTTTCTTTTCTTTTATTAAGAAAAACAATTAGACTGTTCAGCACAAAACTGTAATAATTATGGTTCAGACGACAGTTCCTGTTCCGCTTGGTGGAGTGATCTCAACTCCAATATTTCCAGGAATATTAAGTCGAAGAGTTCTGGAGCTTGAGTCGACAGATGGCGTCTCAAGAATTGTTTGCGGTTCTTTAGCTAATATTCGTTCTCCTAGCGGTCGTCGAATGCGACGGGAGGGTGTTCTCGCTTTCATAGTTCCCCCTAAATTCATGAAGATCTTCTTGCTAAAAATTGGACTAGGTCGAATCACAAATCTAGGAATAGATTATCATCGGCAATTATGTTTATTGTTTGGTAAGTATATTTTACTTACAGCGACCTCTAGTGTTCTAATTACATTTTGTTTTCTACACAAATAATATATGTCAACTGCGAATTTAAATTTCAGAATGGCTTTTTTTTTCAAAGTAATATTTTCATAAACTTTAAGAGTTTTCAAATTAATAATAATAATATCGGAACTATTTGAGAAACAGGAGAATAAAATCACAAAACAATTTATATAAAATACAATATAACAGTATTTCAAACAATGATATTTAGTATTATTAAATAAAATTAAACAATACAATTTCGATTCATCAAATGACAATTCATACTTGAAACAAAACACTAGTTCCTGAAATTTGATGTATTTTTTTCTCTTTTAGAAGCCCCCCCCCCCAGTGGCACAGCGGTATGTCCGCGGACTTACAACGCTAGAATCCGGGTTTCGATACCCGTGGTGGGCAGAGCACAGATAGCCCATTGTGTAGCTTTGTGCTTAATTACAAAACAAACAAACTCTTTTAGTTAAATACAGTGATTTGTTCAGCGAGATGGCCTGGGGCAAGCCCCCCTCACTGGTTAGTTCCCCCCCTATCCAAAATATCAGTATCTAATCTTTTAAGATTGTTAAATTGCCCCTACATGGTGACTCCCACTTATACTTCTATGAAGTGTTAATTTTGGGGGCTGTCTAGATAATCATACGGTGTAACTTAAACTGAAAGAAATATCTCCAATCAGATGGGACCTGGGGGGGGGAGGGTAATGGTAACTTGAAACAGACCGCTGGAGGTACAATTGTTTCTTTCTGATATTTACAAAGAATAAAAAAAAAATTATATAATTAAACTTGACCCCACTCTACTCCCTCCCCCCCCCCAATTAATTATTGTCCTTATTCTGCTCCTCAATAACTCTTTGACCCCTTCTGCCTTAACCCTAAAAATGTCACTACGTAAATGTACAGTTGAAGTTCCTCTAAAATCTTCCATTTTTTTTAACGACATTTATACTTATAATATGTACAGCAGTTATACGTACCATATAACAACATATCTAAAATATATAAATTTGTACTAAGGATACTCAGGCTTACATTACGTCACCTTCTTGAAGATCCTGATCACAATTTGGGTTAATAATCACGTACGATAAACTGTTTCTCTTTTCTGATACATCATCTGCACCCAGAAAACAACAAATATATTTATTAAACCTTTCGGACTAAATAGGGTGACATAATCTACTACGGGAAAATTCACCAAATGTAAAAAAAATAAAAAAATATTGGTTTCCAAAAGCAAAATCCCAAGAAGCAAAAAAAAGCATAGGCTTTACTTATTATTAAGGACTCTTTGCTTGAAATATGCAGCAAAGAGTAATTAAAGTAAATTGAACGTCAAATCAATTGATATAAACTACATTATACCGTCAGCGCCATCTAGATCATGAATACAATTACATCAAAAAAAAATATTTATTTTGAATAAAGATTTTGGTGCAGGTGTGGGAGATATAATATATATGTCACTATCTGCTTTTAACACCTCACTCCTGATGATTGCGGTCTAGGGTGTTGTCGAAACTCGTAGTCTTTTAAAGTTGTGTCCTGTTTTGAATAAATCTAATTTTACTGTGATTGTGTTTAATAATTTAACAGAAATCAAGTTGAAATACATAAATAGAATTAGACCTTAAAAATAATTGTTATAACGAAGCTATATTAATTATTAATTCCTACATATCTAAAGAGTATAAATACGAGAGATCAAATAATATTCATTCTCGTATATCTAGACATTGGTTTTCCTTAACTGTCGGCCATTTGATCTGTGTCACCAGATCATTCAGAAGTAATAAAAATAGTGTAAGTTCGCTGATGCTTAGCTGTATCCAAAACCGTGACTCTCTAATGGGACAGCGGTAAGTCTGCGGACGTATAACTCTATAAATCGGGTTTTGATACCCTTGGTGTGCGCAGCACAAAATGCTCATTTTGTAGATTTGTGCAAACAAACAAACAAAAACCGCGTGGTTAACATTTCTAAGGGCTGGTCGGGCCCCATAGTTGTTCCGTGATTCGCGTTATTACAAAAGAAAAAAATGGGATCTTTACTTTGGGGTCATGGGTGCATTTTAAGGTGACCGTAAAATCATGTTATTCGGTCTGACAAAAGTAGCTAAAAATTTAGTGGTGGGGGGTGTTAACTAGCTGCATTCCCTCTAGCCTAGATTTGGCACGGCCCCCTGGTTATGGTGTTTGACTCGCAAACTGCAGGTCGTGAGATCAAAACCAGTCACTGAACATGCTTGGGGGCATTATAATGTGACAGTCAATCCCACTATCCGTTGGTAAAGAGCAGCCCATTAGTTGGCTGTGGGTGGTTGACTATTTGCCTTCCCTCTAGTCTATTACTTTAAAATTAAGAACGGTTAACACAGACAGCCATTGTGTAGCTTTGCGCGAAATCTAACAGATATTTCTACAACTAAGGTTGAAATTTTGTTTAAAGACGAAAAACATCAGATTTTAAAAGAACGGCAATCAATAGGTCCAATCAATAGGTTAACTATTTTGTAATTCATTTTGCATTTTTCAACTTACTTCATTATTAAGTAAGCCTTTTTAGTAAATGTCAAAGATTTAAAAAAAATAGTCTTAAATTATAACTAAGTACATTTTATTAGTAAAACACATATAACTATATTAATTATAAATAAATTCCTTGCTTTACAAAAGCTTTTACAGACTCCCACAGACGTTTCGCCTTTACAGATCCATGTGTTTATACAGTTTGTAAGTCAATATAAGTCAATCGAAATTACTTCTGTATATAATATATATATATCAGTATCGTTAACCTGTAAGGTTTAACCAAGTTAAAAGATTTTATGGTTAACTCAGGTTTTCAAATTAAATCAAGTAACTGAGTTTTGGGACTAACATGGTTTTACTTCGGTACTTGGGTTTTTTTTTCTTGTTCACCACATAACAAGCTATAGGTGTTCTAATAGCAACCATCAACACACCCTAATGACTTAAGACGCCATCTTGTCTTACACCACTTCCATACACACATCATAAAATGATAACAACTATACATATGCTGTCATAACGTCATAAAAGTCTGATAACATTTATTCAAGTATTATTCCGCTACTTTAAGAGGGGGTGGTGTTACTTGTAGTGTTTGCATACTATCAAACAGTGTTGAGACGTGTATTTGTTCTTCACATGTGTGTGTGTGTGTGTGTGTGTGTGTGTGTGTGTCTGTGTGTAATCGTGCACTTGTTGTTCAAGATGTCAAATAAGCTCGCTCATCAGAAGCTCAACTCTTAAGTCGATAAAGGTTATCCTCGAGCAGACCTCTTTTACTCAGATGACGTTTTTGTCCTACGTGAATAAAATCATATTCAATCAGCGTCAAGCAGATGGCGCTGTTTATGCTTCACACACACACAAGTCCTATAAGTCCTTATGCTTGTATGACCGAAACTTCTGTAAGATTTTAATAGCCGCCTTGTCACACATACACACACGACAACAAAACAAAATACACGATATTACTGTCGTCAATCGTACCATAATCCTTTGTTGGTAGTCCTAAATTCTGCATCCTGGTTCGAACCATATTTGAGATTTCCTGACGTTGAATTTCCGCGTTAATGGCCGCCATGTCCCCATCGCCCGCTAACTCCAGAGCCACCTAGAAAGTAATAAAAATTGTGACTTCTAATGTAACTTAAATCAAAACTGTGCACGAGCCATATAAAATCGTAGTGTTGGTTGACTCAAATGTATCGTTTACGAAGAAATTCTGAGATCGTCCCGAATTCCTTACAAGGAATCACTTTATGAAGTTCTATGATTTTTGGTTCAAATTAAATTGAAGTGATAAACCAAGATTAACACCTAATCTTAGTGAAATGATCACCATTTAAAAAGTTATTAAACGAAATCACGAATTCATTTCTGTAGATACATGAACGTTTGGGTAAAAGTTTAGGTTTTGGAAATATTACGAATGTTTTTTTTTCAATATTCGTTCTTGGTCAATATACCGGACAAACATGGTACGTCAATAGATCAAATGTTGATAATTAATAGAAGATTCTATTACTAATAGAAAAATAAAGTAAGGCGAGACTTTAAACATTTTTTACCTCCACGGATAATTTCCTATTTTTTTTTTCTTTTAATTGAATAAAATTCACTCTACGTTTCCGAGAGAAAATAAAAAAAGAAACATACAGATCTGCAATCCAACGATTTGGAGCTCACTGTACGGTATATTCCAATGGGAATTTCACAAGAAGTGGAGCACAATTTCTGGTAAAGTCGACCATACGTTCGAATCCAGAGGTCTTCTTCTGTGATCCATATCTGTTTTTATTAAAGTAGTAAGTGTCACGTGCTTGGCTCAGGATAAATGTTCTGGGTTCAGAGCACATTTTTACAAATGTAAGATCAACGGTACAATTAGTTATTGTTTTTTGAAGTTATAACAAAGTATCATATCGGTTTAATGTATTATGTTATCAAATATAGCTTGGAAAGTTCATTCCAAAATGCTATATACATATATAAGCTCCAATAAATATCTTACTTGAAAAAAATAAGAAACGAGAAACGCGCAGTATCAAAATATTTAGAACTAAAAATTTTATTAAACGTATTTTTCTCTTTGAAATGTCGAGGGCATTTCGATATCTTATTCACCAAATACAGTACTAAGGAAAATGCTTCTATCTCAACTGTAATCTTTTATAGAGAAAAACAAAGCGCAGAATCTAGACTTTTCTAAATATGAAAAGCAAAAACTTACACAGGAAAGAAAGCCAGAGCCAGGGGAATGGTCAATCCCCAAAAGTAAACGTACCAAAGTGATCATGTAGTCCTTCACGAAGGCCTAAAAAGATTTCAAATACAAATTTTAAGAAACAAAGGGATCCAAGCTTAATTCAATGTTATCATGTAGCTCTTCATGAAGGCCTAAAAACAAGTTCGAATACAAATTTTAAGAAACAAAGGAATTCAAGCTTAATTCAAAGTGATCAAAAAGCTCTCCATGAAGGCCTAAAAATGAGTTCAAATACAAATTTTAAGAAACAAAGGGATTCAAGCGTAATTCAAATGAATCACGTAATCGTTCATGAAGGTCAAAAACCGAGTTCAAATACAGATTTTAAGACTCAGGGATTCAAGCTTAATTCAAAGTGATCAAGTAGGCCTAAAAATGAGTTCAAATACAAATTTTAAGAAACATTGAGATTCAAGATTATATCAAGCATCTCCATTTTATCATACAAAACTTAAATAATTCTAAGTATTTTCTATCTAGGTGTCTCCCACGCCGAAAGACATAACTAGTTATTCAAAGGTCCCTTGAGATGCAAATAATTCAAAAACGGAGAAATTATTGTTAGTGGTATGACGTTAGGCGCTGTTGGCCAACCCTACAAGTACTACCATCGAGGTCATTCAAGGTCGCCCGGCATGGCCAGGTGGTTAGGGCGCTCGATTCGCAAACTGAGGGTTGCAGGTTGGAATCCCCGTCCCACCAAACATGCTCGCCCTTTCAGCCGAGGGTGTAAAAGAGTGGCCCATGAGTTGGCGGAGGGTGGTGATGACGAATTTTACTATGTGGGCCGCCAGTGACGGTTGTTTTCATTAGGTGACGTTTAGGAGTGTCGCTATTTTTCAAAACCAACAGTAGACAGTCCTTTTTTGTTATTTTTTAGGTATTGGTAGCTCGATATACCACCTAATACAAAATATGCTGTACTTGGAGTAATTTTTCGCCTGTTTTTTTTGCTTGTAACTATTGTTATTGCTGAAGAAGTTTCATTCTAAAATTTAACTTCAAGACTCAAAATTAGAATTATGAGAGCCCGCGAGTGAAGATAAGGAAGATTGTAATAATATGTCAACTACGCCATACCTGCTATATCCAGTGCTGACGAGGCATTTCGCACATTACTAGTGCTCATGCTTACCTGTTGAAGAATACTGTTCCACGTAGTGGTACCTAAAACATTAGAATCAACAACAGAATGTTTCCCTGACAAAGCAGACTGTTCCACGTAGTGGTACCTAAAATATTTGAATCAACAACACTATGTTTACCTGATAAAGAATACTGTCCCGCGTAGCGGTACCTAAAACATTAGAATCAACAACAGTATGTTTACCTGATAAAGAAGTCTGTTCCACGTAGTGGTACCTAAAACATTAGAATCAACAACAGAATGTTTCCCTGATAAAGCAGGGTGTTCCACGTAGTGGTATCTAAAACATTAGAATCAACAACAGTATGTTTACCTGATAAAGAAGTCTGTTCCACGTAGTGGTACCTAAAACATTAGAATCAACAACAGAATGTTTCCCTGACAAAGCATGACTCTCAACGTATTGGTACCAAAAACATTCCAGTTAAAAATATATATTTTTACCTGATAAAACACGGTATAGCATAGTGGCACTAGAAACATTCCCAACAACAATAGGATATTTACTTGATAAAGTATGGTGTCCAACATAGTGGCACTAGAAACATTCCCAACAACAATAGGATATTTACTTGATAAAGTATGGTGTCCAGCATACTGGCACTAGAAACATTCCCAACAACAACAGGATATTTACTTGATAAAGTATGGTGTCCAACATAGTGGCACTACAAACATTCCCAACAACAATAGGATATTTACCTGATAAAGCATGGTGTCCAACATACTGGCACTAAACACATTCCCAGCAGCAAATGGCAAGCGAAACATATAGGAGATATGAGATCCCTTTTCTCTTTCTCTCTAAACGAAGAACCATTGAAGTATTATAAAACAAGCCAAACAACAATTTACTATATTTCTCCTGTTTCACAACAATTTACTCCGGGGTTCAATTCCCCGCGGTAGACACAGCAGAAACTCAACGTGGCTTTGCTCAAAGACAAACAAACAAACAGTTACCTAAGAACACATTCACTCATTTATATATTACCTTTTATACCAGTTTCTAAAGTTATTTGTTAATCAAGCGCATATGTTAACTAGCAAGTATGAAAAAGCTGTTTTAAAAATGAATTTTTAACAAATATTATAAACCATATTATCTGTGTATCTATAATAATAAAAGGGCGTGTCTGTTAGTCTGTATTTCTGTGTGTGACCGCCTTAGCTCCAAGAGGAAAGAACCTAGAAACCTGAAATTTTGCATACATACTAAGTGGCCCCTGAGGGTGTGCACCTGGGTATTACTTATCTCATCCACATGCATGCGCATCTTTTTAACGAGGAAAGCTAACGAAAAACCACACAGAAAAGAAGTGGTTCCTTATATAACAACTTCTAATATATAGAAAAGCCAGTGCGTTTTGGTAACAATGCATTCCAACAATGGCTTTTATGTCATGATGCTTAGCAACAAAAGTATATAGGTTGTAGTTTTAGGCTAAAATGGGATCATAATACACACACACACACTATGAACCTAATAACCCGAGCGAAGCCGGGTACTTTCACTAGTATTTAAATATAAGCGTTCATGCACAGCCAAATTGGAATGTTGTTACATAAACAAGTTCTGCATGAATGTGATGTACAGGTAAACACACTATTTTAATTAGAAATAAATTACGTAAATTACGTCACCGTGCTTGCTCGCAAGTATAATTGAAACGTGTCTTTAAGCCGGGGGTGTAGATTACAAGAACGTTTCAGATTTACATATTGAATACCTATAGTTAAAACTCCAAATATGGTATATGAATATAAATATTCTAAATGTTCTTTAGGTTATATTGGATCCACCCACCACCAGGGGTTAACAGTTTGTATGTAGATTTAGAAACCTACGTCATTATCGTGCATTAATAGTCATGCGCTGAATGAATGTAACAAACCTATAAATAGAGGGCAGTTTTAAAATTCTCTCGTAGGTAAATATCGAGCATGTTGATCAATAGACGTCAACCTAGTTGAAATGAGCAGAATATTTCAGTTCGTTTAATTTGAATTCTATTAGCGTTTATGTTAATATACGTATTTAAAATTCCCACACAGGCACTGTCATATAAAGCTGGATGTCTCCAATGTATACTCTCTTTAGAAACAAATACATGTCTATAGTTTGATGATTATTTTATAAATGTTCTAGATTTTCTTTGTTCTAAGTTAACTTGTAAAATAGTATTGTTCATACTTTTCATCGAAATATTTGTTTCAGCTGTACTGGAATTTTCAGACTAATTTTTAAAAAAGTTCAATTTAAGTTCCTGAAAAAAATCACACTTTCACAATAATTAACTCGCTTTTTTTAAAATCTTTTATGGAATAAGAATTAAAGAATATAGTTACTGTAATAAATGAAATAATCCTATATTTAATTTCTTCTATATCCTACCTTTTCTGTCCTTGACAGATGAAGAGCATACGTATCGTGTGCTCGGAACTGCATAAATCTCATGTTGCTCGACTGGCTTAACTCGGTAATAACCCTTACGCTGGGAAACAACCTGTAATTTAATGAAAATAAAGAATGTTCTCTTAATGTTATTTATAGTGTCAATAATATGCTATAATTAGTAAACAGTGCACTCAGCAATTATGATGACAGTAACATAGAGAAAAACTTGTCGTTTTACTGGTCTGAGATATAGAAGACCCGATCTTTTACTGACCTGAAGATACAGAAGACCCGTTCTTTTACTGAACTGAACTTAAGGAAGACCCGATCTTTTACTGACCTGAACGTGCAGAAGATCTGTTTATTTTCCTCACCTGAACATAGTCTGTACTGCCACAATGGTATTACAGTCGGCTAAGTGATCTTCTTCAACTGAGTTACTGCTTTCTTTATTGACCACTATAGCACTATCCGCCAGGTTAATTCCTGCCCTTAAGAGGTCGTCCAGACTTTAAAACATTAATAATAAATACTATTGTAGTATACTCTTGTATGTTCCATACAATATTAACAAAGAATAATACTGTATTATATCATGGTGTGTTCCATATAATACTAACAAAGAATAATACTGTATTATATAATGGTGTGTTCCTTACAATACTAACAAAGAATAATACTGTATTATATCATGGTGTGTTCCATATAATACTAACAAAGAATGGTACTGTATTATATCATGGTGTGTTCCATATAATACTAACAAAGAATGGTACTGTATTATATCATGGTGTGTTCAATACAATATTAACAAAGAATAATACTATATTATATCATGGTGTGTTCCATACAATACTAACAAAGAATGGTACTGTATTATATCATGGTGTGTTCCATACAATACTAACAAAGAATGGTACTGTATTATATCATGGTGTGTTCCTTACAATACTAACAAAGAATGGTACTGTATTATATCATGGTGTGTTCCTTACAATACTAACAAAGAATGGTACTGTATTATATCATGGTGTGTTCCATACAATACTAACAAAGAATGGTACTGTATTATATCATGGTGTGTTCCTTACAATACTAACAAAGAATGGTACTGTATTATATCATGGCGTGTTTCATACAATATTAACAAAGAATGGTACTGTATTATATAATGGTGTGTTCCTTACAATATTAACAAAGAATGGTACTGTATTATATAATGGTGTGTTCCTTACAATATTAACAAAGAATGGTACTGTATTATATCATGGTGTGTTCCTTACAATACTAACAAAGAATGGTACTGTGTTATATCATGGTGTGTTCCATACAATACTAACAAAGAATGGTACTGTATTATATCATGGTGTGTTCCATACAATATTAATAAAAAATGATACTGTGTTACATTCTGGTGTATTCCACCTTCAAACACCCAAAAGTAGATTTCGTATACATGTATTATTTGTAGAAAAGGTTTTAATTTCATCTCTGGGACTGCACGTGGTCTAGTGCTTGGTTTTACTGAAAAATGAATCCGATAATTCATGGATCACTTTACTTTACCGCGAAAACGCACTCCGCACTTCAATCAGGCAATAGTAGATTACGAGTTGACAGTTGATACTGTTGCCTTCTCTCTAGTCTGTAAGTTTACAATTTTATTCGACTCTCCGTAAATAGTGCCTTTGTGTCCCTTACGCAAAACCTACGGCATCGGGACTAGAACCATGCATTTTCGAACTCGCAGAACGGTTATCTTACCATTAGGCTACATCTAGCTTTAAATAGGGAAAGCTTACTTGTCAATACAGCCCTGCATCCAGTACACTAAAGGAAACCAGGAAATGGCGTCGAGAAAAGCTGAGTCTGGCCTACAAAAAATCAAAGATATTTAATGTTGCACGTTTATTTAAAACAAGACGTTAATGTCAACCATTAAAACTTTTATCCGATAGATGGCGGAGCAGACCATTAACTTCTATATTTTATGCTCAAATCGTGATTGTCTACAGACGAAATAATATTCAAAAATGTAGATACAGCGTAATAGAGGATAAACAAGAACAATACTGTCATATAATGTAAATTATAAAAATAAATAAAATGTCAATCATTTGAAATGTTTTCTTTGTTTCATGTTCCCGTGCGAATTATTTCAAGGGTAGGTTTTATTTGTTATGCTACATTAAGTAATAGCTTACTTCTTTTCCAAAAGTAGGATAATTGGTTTAAGAAGTTGAGGGCTTCTAAAATGGGCCCGAAGTGGAACGATAAAATTATAGATGGCGCTGCTGGCAAAGTCTGCTGCTAGGATAATACACTGATTAGCCCAGTTGTACTCCTTAGCGTTACGAAAAGAACAGTGTTCACAAACCTATAATAATAATAATACGGAAAAAAGAAAAAAGTAATTATATATTTTATTTTCAATAAGATTTAAATTGTAAGTATCGGAGTTAGTAGTAAAAATAATATTCCAAATAAGACATGAAAGCCCAAACAAAAGGGTCGATGGTTTTCAATTAATAAAGTAGGCCTAATCAAAGGAAAATACGAAACTCTACGGAAATTTATAATTTGACAAGTTATAATTAGAATTGATTGAAAGTAGTAGTAAAATTATATTTCTCTTAAAAGGTTATACATTTAAATTGAAAACAAATACACTTATTTCTGTTTTATTCTATCTCTCAAAATTATAATTCACTAAATTCTGCTTTCTTTCGCTGAGATATTTAAAGTCATTTATCAAAGTCTCGAATAATTAACAAATATAATATCGGAAATATGGAGACCCTTATGCCTAAACAGTATATTTCGATTCATAACATTAGAAAGTGATCAAAGGGTTAACTTTAAAAGTTTCTTTTGGGCCAAACTTTTGTGCATATGTTCTTACTCCAATGACTTTAATATTATACAAAACTTTAAATGATAACTGCGTTTGCAGTCTCTAATATTATCGTTATTATTGAGACCTAAATAGGCTTACAGACATGTATTGAGACTAACGTGTTTGACGAGTACACATTTATATAGCGTTCTACATCTATATAAGCAAGGTTAGCCTCCATATACTGAGATACGTTATATTAGGACTATTTTGGCACTTCACCATGTCCGGTCATGCTCTAACTTACAACTGCGTATGTTGGCAATAGTCCTGCAGCGTAGTTTCCATGATATTTTGCGTCAAAAGTTGTTGTTAAATACCCTTTCCAAAGCGATACAATTTTTGGTAATATCATAGTGCCTACGAAACGTCAGTAAATGCCAAAATGTAGTTCGAAAACATACTGTTCTTCCCGACTTATATCAGTTGTGGTTGTCAAGTGTCTTGCTGACGTCCATTTCAAAATCATTTTAATATAATAAATTCTTTGAATATTAGGATAAACTAGGATTAATCGCACAAATACAAGGGTTCAGATATGATCAGTCTAAATATTAACGAGAAATTAAATAGTTGTTAGGCCTAAGATATGATCAGTTTGAATATCAGCGAGAAATGAATAGTAGTTAGGCTTAAGATATGATCAGTTTGAATATTTGTGAGAAATGAATAGTAGCTAGGCCTAACATTCGAAGTCTTATCGCTAAAGATGACTTACTTGTGCAAGCTGAAGGCAACAGATGGGTTTCTTCTGTTTCAACAAGTAACAAAATGTGGGGCTGACACCGATATAAGGGGTCACTGGAGGGAAACCCTTAATCATTCTAGATCGTCAGAAAAATACAATATCGTAAAAATTAAAGTTAAAATAAATCAATGATTTAGTTGAATCGAAATTAATTCGGAAGCATTGATAAATGTTATAGCAAGAAAATGTGATTGCAAAATATTGTTTGTTTAAAAATTAGTAAAAATTAAAACGACTACGAAATTAAATAACAGTTCACTTAGGACTAATAATAATATTAATTAAACAGGCCTCCAATAGTTTCATTGTTTTGAAATTTTTACATGTTCCACGGTAATTCCTGTACACTGAATCCGAAAATGATATCCATTTTTCTCCAT